TACCAAAAAGACAGGGAGAGAGAGAGAGAGAGAGAGAGAGAGAGAGAGAGAGAGAGACAGGGCTAAAGAGAAACGAGAATAACGTCAAGAATCTTAACGGAAACACAGTGATATAGATACTAAACTATAAAAGTACTTCGAATATATTACACGAGAGACTTACGTTGCAGATAAAGCATAGAAGTCTTGAATGCAATGAAATGCGTACACTTATTTTTTGCAAAAGAACTACACAATTAACATAATGGTTGTATGAAATTAGCGATTTGTGCGAGGATTATTTTTACGTACAGGATCATATGTTTACATAGTGCAATATTAATTTGTAGATATAGTAATTTAATTGGACAGACCGTCATAATGTAACAGTAAGAGATAATGTAATCAAGGACAGTACAGTAGTATATTGAGTACAATCAAACCGATGAATGTTCTCTAGAAATAGAGGAATATATACAAAATTATGGTATTGCATTGCAAATAAATAGATCGAATTATGTTGTTTATTTGCGAATATTTCAGTAATCTAAAAGCTAGACAAGATCGTTAAAAATGTAAACGTATTATAATGTACAAAATTTTATTTCAGTACAAACGCATTCAATTCCAATGGAAAAAAGTATTTAAAAAAAAAGGACGATAAGAAAAATATATAATAAATTAATGATTTAAAAAAAATCACAAATTTTGAGTTTCTTTCAATATCTGCATGCAAATAAGGAAGCAAATACTATAATATAACACGGCTTAATGAAATATTTTCACTAAAACCTATAATAGAATTAAAATTCACATTTTTTCGAAAGTTTCTTCATAGCCGCAAGTGATACATGTATGTGTATATGTATCATCTTCTTCATTGTATGTATCTCCTCCAAATTCGTGAACGTGAGAAGCTTTCGATGTTTTATCGTACATCGAACTTCTAACTTGCATCCGCAATTGTTTAATCTATCGAAAGGAACGATTCTTTGTTAGCTAAGAAATATTTGAGATAGAGTAATATTTCATAATTTTAACACAAGAATAATATTAAAGTTCTACATATGTTTTATACCTTTTTATTAAATTTTTTAATTTTTGTTCCTTCTCGCTTAGTATCCCGGGTTTCCTTCTCTTCTAACAATTTGTCTTCAGAACCCCAAACTTGTAGTGCTCTCTGCTCTACTTGTAATTGTAAATACAATTTCATTTCACCCCAATGCGAATTATGGGGATTCTTTTTTGTGATATATTTTAATATAGGCTCTCGCCCATCAAAATCACAATCCTTCAATAGATATTCTTGCTTGGCCTCTGTTTTTGTGATGAAAGTATGTTTTCCCTTAGGATCTCTGTAAAATCGAGTAAATCAATTTACTTGAATTTATTTAATCTGGTAAAGAAAGATAACTTGAACAGTGATATCACCTGCATTTATCGCATACAGATAAATCAAACTTTTGTAATAAATATGAATCTTTAAACTCATTTTGGCATTCTTCGCAATGAGGTAAATTACTTATAATCGGGGCAGGTGGTTCTGTTATTTTCAACTGTAATAAAAACAGATTAATCTCTTAATAGTCCTAACATTATTGCATAGTTGTTAATTATGTAATTTACCATCTCATCTTCTAAATCATCATCTTCCTCTATGAGAAAGCCACCACCACTGAGTTTAATCTGTTGGTCTTGTACTTTAGTTTTTTTATTATTTGAATTTCCATTCTCTCTTTAAATGACATATATCACAATATTTAAAATTTTTGTGCAGAACTTTTATAAATCAAAATTTATGTAAAATATATTATTTACCTTTTGGAGTAAGGATGCGATACAATTTTTGAACTTCTTAAAAGCAATGCTTTTTGACGATTGCGTTCACAACGTTCTTTGTAGAGACGGCAACTGTCTAACGACTTGAGAAAATCTTCCTCTGCTGTAGACATCTTTTCACAATACTGATCTTCTTGTAGAACTACACAAATGTAATTAAATAATTTGATTTATACTAAATGCGTGAAGCCCTCTTTAAGGTACAGTATTTACATTACAGTAGCGCCGCCTGTAGAAAAATAAAGAAGCTGTTTTAAACTAAGTACAGCGCCAGTTCACGTAGTGATATAATATTGTATATAATATTATATTTAATATTATATATTAATTTTATATTATATATATTATATATAATATTATATATAATATTAAACTATTTGTCAAAATTATCCACATACGATAATTCTGATTGTTTAGAGTTATGACACAGGTGCCGCCACTTTACTAATTTCATTAGATTTTAATTTTGACACCATTTTTAAATGGATTATTTACAGAAATACGATTGCTTTGTATTGTATCATTCATCAATCTTCTTGTAGAATTACACAATTATAATTAAATTTGATTTATACTAAATGCATGAAGCCCCCTTTAAGGTACAGTATTTACATTACAGTAGCGCCGCCTGTAGAAAAATGAAGAAGCTGTTTTAAATCTATGTACAGCGCCAGTTCATGTAGTGATATAATATTATATATAATATTATATTTAATATTATATTAATTTTATATTATATATAATATTAAATTATTTGTCAAAATTATCCACATACGATAATTTTGATTGTTTAGAATTATGACACAGGTGCCGCCACTTTACTAATTTCATTAGATTTTAATTTTGACACCATTTTTAAATGGATTATTTACAGAAATATGATTGCTTTGTATTGTATCATTCATCAATCATCTTGTAGAACTACACACTTATAATTAAATTTAATTTATACTAAATGCGTGAAGCCCTCTTTAAGGTCTGTCTCTTATACACATCTCCCTCTTTAAGGTACAGTATTTACATTACAGTAGCGCCGCCTGTAGAGAAATGAAGAAGCTGTTTTAAATCTAAGTACAGCGCCAGTTTACGTAGTGATATAATATTATATATAATATTATATTTAATATTATATATTAATATTATATTATTTATATTATATATAATATTATATATAATATTAAACTATTTGTCAAAATTATCCACATACGATAATTTTGATTGTTTAGAATTATGACACAGGTGCCGCCACTTTACTAATTTCATTAGATTTTAATTTTGACACCATTTTTAAATGGATTATTTACAGAAATATGATTACTTTGTATTGTATCATTCATATTCGAATGAAAAATAAAACTTTGCTTACAAATTCATTACAGCTTAGTAAATGCACTTTCTTGATGTGTTCATGAGAATATAAGCTTATTTTTTTGGGCGGGAAATTGAACAATGATAGAATCTGAAGTTTGCGGATAGTGATTTTTAAAATAAACCAATCAAGTGCATGCAGCGATGTTTCGCGCAATGAAATTCAAGAACGAGACGAAGTCTATAATTGGTACTCCTGTTCCGAACTGCCTTGCTCTAGAAATTTGAACAAGTTTAAATTTGTGAGATTTAACGATTTAATGAACCGTCTCGTTATCATTTGCTAATCGTATTTCGTTATTTTATCGACATGACCGACATCGATAACAAGTTAATTCACTATGAAAAAGGTAGGATGGATTATCAGTATAAACATTGACATTCAAGCCATACGATATGCATTAAAACATGTGTCAAAATTCATTCGCCGGTAGCTCGTGTAGAAACATACCGTTTTTATTATGAACCGATTGATTTTGCCTTAATTAGACAATAATATGATCCAGGTATGGACACTCGTAAGTCAGCGGAAAAGATGGATGAAGAACGTCAAAATATCCTCGCATATGAATACCTTTGCCACTTAGAAGAAGCTAAAAAGTAAAACGTTTAACAATCACCACTAGCAGACTATTACTATTTGTTTTTGAAAAGTACTGTGCTACTTTTTTAGATGGCTGGAAGCTTGTTTGAGGGAAACACTTCCACCCACCACCGAACTAGAAGAAAATTTAAGAAATGGTGTATACTTGGCGAAACTTGCTCATTTTATGGCTCCTGAGACTCTACCGTTCAATAAAATCTATGACCCTGAACAGAAACGTTATGGAGTAGCTGGTTTACAATTTCGACATACTGATAATATCAACTATTTTTTAAAGTCTTTGAAATCCATGCAATTGCCATTGGTATGTATATGTTCTACAACAATCAAAACAATATACTAAGCATGATAAGCGGTAAGACCATTGTTTTAACAGACTTTCCAACCTGAGACGACTGATATATATGATAAGAAAAATATGCCAAGGGTAATATATTGTATTCATGCACTAAGCACACATTTATTTAAACTGGGAAAGGCTCCACAAATACAGGACCTATATGGGAAAGTGAATTTTACAGGTATAGAATATAGAAAGTTCTTAAAATTGATTATATTAACATAAAATATTATTTTACATCTCTTAGAGGAAGAGATAAATGCAGTCAGTAGAGAGCTAAAAAAATATGGAATACAGATGCCATCTTTTCAAAAAATTGGGGGCCTTTTAGCAAGTAGCATGGAAATTGATACCGCCACTCTTCATGCTGCAGTTATAGCAATCAATCAAGCAATAACAGAAAAGGTATATCGATTATTTATAGTTTTAAATTAATTTAAATTGTATTTAAAATATGTACTAATTGTTTCTTATCTCTTAAGGATTATGACAAAATACTAAATACACTCCAGAATAAGGTAGTACAGTTGAACAATGTTAAATCTGACTACATCAAAATATATGCTGACACTTTACGGGAAGCTAAAGAATCTAAGACACAAACTGCTCTTAACAGAGTAAGTAAAAAATATTGAAATATATTAATAATTAGTTATTAAAAATATATTTTTGGTAGTCCCTCAACGATAGTTATGTACAAGATGTATATGATGAACTTCTAACTCAAGCAGAAATTCAAGGACATATTAATTTCATCAATGGTAGGCATTATATGTTAGATATTAATTAATAAAAATATCATTTCGTTTTTATCCAAGAATTTTTTTTTAGTTCAATGCGCAGTAAAGGACATAGCACGTTCTGTCCACAATAAAAGTAATGAATTTTTCAATGCCTTAGAAACACCTGTCTTAAGTTTAAAAGTATGTTTCATGCTATTATCTTTTTAATAACACAACTTTTTGTAGAAGTACTAACAAGTATAATTGTTTTTCGATAGAATGTATTGCATGAGAATACAGAATTGTATAAAGAACAGTTAATGCAATTACTGGAAAGTTCTGAATGGAATAATATATATTCAGAAAATCAACATCATTGGAAAGAACTACTTCAAAAAAGAATTGACGAAGCAAACAAACTTGCTCTGAAAATTCGTAAACGTCAGTACAACATAATAAACTTGCCAATTTCTATATGTTACTGTTTTATACTATCTATATTCTGTATTATCTTTTACACAGGCAACGATGCAGTCAAACATTTGAATTCGATACTAGAAATTGGAGTGCCGACTGATTTTAATGATGCTCTGAAAAATATTGATCTTGGATTATCAGATAGAATCAATGAATTTGCAATACCACTATATTACGAAGAAATGAAAGCGGACCGTACAGAGTCTCGGGTGAATATGCACAATACAATTTTTAGTATCTATAATGATCTACTATTAATGCAAACAATTTTTTTGTTAGAATGACCTTTCGTACAGTGATATAGTAGTTAGTCTACGCGTATTGTCGTTGATCGCGCAGATTAGTGAAGCTGTAGATACTGGAAACTCGGACTTGGTTTATCAAGCACTGTCAAATCCAGATTGCCATGTCTCTGTGAGTATAATTATATCTCAAACGACTTATAATAGCTAAATAATTTCATTCCCGTCACATCATAGGAATTGGATTATGAGAATAAGGAAAAATATTATAGAGCACTGGCAGCGGTTCGATGTCAAAAACAAATCAATTCCGAAGAGTGTCCTTTGCTGACGTACATCGATATTCAAGAATGTATTGACATTGTTAATCAACAATGTCAAAATGACGACGATGGTACATTACATCCACTTTTCATGTAGCTTTTTCTATAAATATCTAATTGTTTATTCACAATAATTCTGTCATTGCAGTCATACAAGTTTTACGACAATTAAATGTAGCTGTTATGGAAAATGATCGAAACGGAATATTAACTGCCTTGAAAGACACTGCTCTGAAATTACAGAAGCCCACCTCACCTGGCGATGCGTCTCTCTATTTGAAATTATTTAAAAAATGTCTGACAGAAAAGCATTCCGATGGTTCCGAGTTATGGTTTGAAGATGTAGAAGCAATAACAGAAATCGTTGCCACAGAGGCTGAAACCGTTCAGAATGGTGTACTTCATATACAAATTTATTTGTTTATGCACTATATTTAGCGCATTATTAACATAGTTCAATTTCTTGCAGCGTGTACTTTTTTGTCGCAAGTGAATTTAGGTTTGGAGAAAAGCGATGCGATATTTACAATCAATTGTCTTCAAACGTTTGGCTTTAAAATACCGGATAAATACAAGGCAGAATGTTTTCGAAATCTGTGCGACTTAAAAAGAGTCAAGGTATATTGCTGAAACAAACATCAAGTATTAAATGCAATACAATATTATAATTACTATATTTTAGGGTGAAAATAACAATTGTTCGCTGGTACGTTTCATTACGCCTAAAGGCAATGAATCGTATTTGGACCTACAGAAATATAATTACACATGGGACTGTCCCAAAAATATATCAGAAACACATTACATCAATATGGAAGATATAAAGGTATCTCATAAATATTAATTTCTCAAAGAGAATTTAAAATAACAAAGACATGTGATTGCTTCTAGAGAATAGTAAGAAGTACTACAATAAGGGAACACGATATGTACAAGATAAATAAACAAATAATACGATTGCAAGCACACATTCGGGGCTACTTGATTCGCAAACGAATCTCTGATAGGCTTGCTTACTTTCGCGGGAACATGCATAAAATTGTCGAGATACAATCGTGGTGGAGAGGTTTAATTCAGCGAAGAAAATATATTCAAATGCTAGAAGACAAACGTAAACGAGAAACAGAAAATTGTCACAATGCATATTTGAAATTTAAAACTCGGATTGAAGATACATTGGAACGTTATAAAAAACATGTAAAGTATATTTGTTAATTCAAACGTGTACACAGTGAAGATAATCCTAGTTTATTTGATATATAAAATTGTTAATATATTGTAGGAGGAAAAGATTATGAGAATACAAGCTGTATGGCGTGGTCGTGCAGAAAGACGAGCTTTTCGTTCGCTTTTACACATGGATAAACCACCTTTCCCTGTTGTTCGACACTTCTCAGGGATTCTGAATTTTAATGCAGAAGATTACGATAGAGATTTACAATTACAAGTATGATGTAGTGCTATATACATTTATGTAATGATTTTATTATTTTACTGTAATACAAAAATTATTCTTGCAGCACCTGAAGCACGAAGTAGTTAAAAGCATTAGACATAATCAAGTTTTATCACAGCAGTTAGACAGTATGGACATAAAAATAGGATTACTTATTCAAAATAGAATTACGTTACAAGTAATGTTGTTCAAAGAAATTAAAATCGACAGTCGTCTATAGCAGTACATAATATTTTTTAATAAATTTCCAGGATGTTATAGCACATGGGAAAAGTTTAGAGACTCTTGCAAAACAGAAACATTCGAATAGGGAGCAAAAAAGCATACTCGTTGATGGTACCACATCGCATAAGGGTCTAAAATCGTTGACAAAAGAAGGTCGGAAAATGTTGGAAGGATATCAACATTTGTTTTACGCTTTACAAACTAATCCTATGTATTTATCGAAGTTGCTGTTTCTCTTGCCCCAAAGCAAAACGAACAAATTTCTTCAGAATGTAATTCTGACATTGTTTAACTTCGGCTCGAATATTAGGGAAGAATATTTATTATTGAAACTATTTGGAAGCGCTTTGCAAGAGGAAATTAGGTAAAACTTCAGCTTCGCAAAGGCTACGATAGAACTAAAGGGCATAAAGAATAATACAATTGCATGTACAGGTCCAAATTTCAAAAACCGTCCGAAGTTGTGACAGGAAATCCGCTTGTTCTAAAAATGGTAGTAAATTACGCACGACAATTAAATGGCCAAAGAGCTTTGAGGCAAATTGTAGGTCCGATTATTGAGAAAATTTTAGCTGACCGAGCGTTGAACATTGAAACAAATCCTGTGGATATATACAAATGCTGGAGAAATCAGTTAGAAATGGAAACTGGAGAAACATTGTAGGTCGAGTAAATTTATCGCATACATAGAATTCTATTTTGGTTCTATATTTCCTTTCTTTTATAGGGATCTTCCATATACTGTAACACAACAACAAGCCTTAAATTACGAACAAGTGCGGATAAGGCTGAACAAAGGAATACAATTGTTGCAAAGTACTGTTTTAGAGTTCTTAACGAAAATTACTGAATCCAGAGATCTGATACCGTACGGAATGTTGTACATGGCGAAGATTTTGAATGATTCCTTAACCGAGAAATTTCCAAATGCTCCGGAAAAAGATATATTGAAAGTAGTCGGAAATCTGATTTATTATCACTTCATTAACGCGGCAATTGTAGCACCAGATGCTTTCGATATAATTACATTACCGATAGACCGGTCATTATCAAACGATCAACGAAGAAATTTAGCAAGTATTGCAAAAATATTACAATTTGCAGCGTCCAAAAAAGGGGTAATGTTTGATTTAAAAATTACAAATCTATGGAAGTAGAGGGAAGAAATGTGCAGCATGGAACTTTGTTTCAGTTTGGAGAAGAGGCAACGCATTTAGTCTGTTTAAATTCATTTATAATCGAGTGCCACGAGAAGTTCAAAAACTTTTTCCGCTATTGTTGTCGTATAGAAGATTTGAAGGAGCACTTTTGCATTCATGAATACACTGAAGCTACATTAATCCACAAACCCGAAATTTATATTTCATTACAAGTAAGTAACTTCTTATGTTTTGAAGAATACGAAAGATGAACTTAGAAAATATATTATTGTTCGTTCGAATTATAGGAAATTTGTGATACTCACTGTCTTATGCTAGAGTATCAGGATCAAATAGCGGTGGATCCAATGGATCCTTTGCATGATTTACTGGACGATCTTGGTCCTGCGCCCACTCTGCATTCTTTACTTGGCATCTGTAAGTATTGTATAATAATACCGTATAACATATGTACGATGTACAAATGAAACACATGTAAAAATGATTTGTATTTATTAGCCGAGAACACGAGCGAAGCAAATTTGGCTCGTTTCGGGAAAACGGAAGTGTGTCTGGTACTCACCAACAAATTCCAAGTACCGGAAGACGAAGACGCTAACTTGAACAAACTTTTCATCAAAACCAAGGAGTTGTTAGTTTCGGTTCTCCAATTCTTGAAAGGGCAAACCTTAGTGGAAGCATTAGAAACTACCTGTTCGCCTGTTCAGGAAAAATTGTACGACGTCAAATGTTCCAGTATGTCCCCTACACTGAACATTATTCATAAAAGGTGAAATTAATATGTAATTAAAATGGAAAATGATCGAGCTGGAAAATAAGAATGTAATTGAAGTGGAGATCTTATTTAGCTCATCCTTAAACGACTGTAAGCAACAACTGCGCGCGTATCTTAATAAATTGGAACTTGGAGGATGGGTCAGCCAAGCAGACGGATATCAGAATATTATCACAGCAGTAGCCAAGGATCTTTGCAACAAAGGAAAGTATCGTATTATTCGAAATAAAGAATTACAGATGTTACGAATAACTAAACAGAGGCTGGAAGAAAAGTGCAAATATTACCAAGAACAGGTCGAATATTATAATGAATACATACAGCGGTGTTTGGAGAACTTGCATACTGGAAAAGGGTATGTATGACCTTGATCGACTTTGCAGAATCTGTACGCATTTTTATGTTTTCGATCATTGTCTTTAGAAGAATTAATTACAGATCTTTGCGCGCATTCAAAGCGATTCAAAAGAACAGTCATGGAAAACTAAGGTCCAAGATGACATTAAAATACTCTGCCGCAAAGTTACAGGAAAAAGGCGTGCTATTGGAAGTCGATGGACTTCCGCAAGCACAGTTCAAAAATGTAATATTCGAGATCAGTCCGACGGAGCATAGTGGCCTTTTTAGTGTCCGTTGTAAATTTATGGGTGTGGAAATGGAGAAAATTGACATCGACATACAAAAGTTACTCGAATTACAATTCGAGGGATCGCCGATCATGGACATGTTTGGTAAAGCAAAGGTTAACGTGAACTTGCTGTTATATTTATTGAATCGGAAGTTTTACGGTAAAACTTGAAGGGAAAAGAATCGAATTGTATTATTTATGGTTATGAAAAGTCAGCGCTGCCTGTGCAATGTTGCATTGTGATCACGGTTGTCTTGAACGAAACTGTACGCCAAAAATTGAAAACTGAAACTGTTTTTACATTATTAGTATGATAATTTTTTTAACAAACGGTCATCTTATGTAAATAATTGTACGTATAGCAATTTAATGTTCTAATACAAGTGTAGCTTGGTATGTATGTAATATTGTAATGGACTGCTATAGTGTAACAGTGTAAGAAGATATACAATTTTATTAATTGCCAACGTTACGAAATTACGTAGAGTATAGAATCTGGACTATGATGACTGAATTGTTAGGATTTCACGGTTGTTGTAACATACACTTATCAATTATATGCGACGAAATCTATGAAACAAAAACGACTTTTAAATACGATCAAACATTTCAAAAGAGAAATATATTTTTCTAATATTTATAAAAATAAGTAAATTAATGGTAGTAAATGTCACCTACTGACGAGACAATGCTTCTCTCGGTTTATAACTAAATCTAATTCGAGCCGTGTACCATACTTCACTTTTTTTCGGTCATTTCTCTTTTATTACATGGCATGGCGAATATTTATATGTAATATAATATTTTATTAGAATCTAAACATTTTGTATGTTGCACCGTCGAAAATAAGATAAGGCATATTCTGAGAAATTTTTAATCGAGAACAATAGGATGTCCATTATTATTTATAGGTCTGTAATGCTATACATATAGCTTATATTATTATTTAAACAATGGACAACCTAGTGTTCCTGTGCATTTTATAAAATTTAAAATTGAATATTTTGAACATAAATCCGAAGGTTTTATCATTTGCATATTTCTAATACAATAAATTTTTTTATTTTTGTAAAATATACTACATAAAGGCCTGTTTAGTGGATACTGGCGAATAAGCCTGCACATTCGAAACAAAATCACATTTCATTAAAAAATAAGTTTAAAACAAAATTTTAAAATGATAGCTAAAACGGAACAAAATGTTTGCGTTGAGATCAATAGATTGTAATAAAAATATTTTTATTGTTTTTACAGAATGTGCGACGATAATAATTAAAAGTCTCTCTTTCCAATAAAACTCGTTAGAACATACGTGCGCGTAAGAAATTTGAAAATCCGTAAAACAAAAGTTTATTTTATATATAAGATATAAACACTACATACATAGATAAACTGCCCGCATTTATCACACGTGCATTGTATTATAAATATTATTTTTTTTTACATATCTCGTGTTCTTGAAGTCTTGTTCTTTTTTACTCAACTTTATTATACAAATCTGTCTTTACATAATTTACGTGACAGATGCTAACATCCAGGTACTGCGTCACGAGGTATCTTGAAAGACATTTTTATAATGTATGGCGCACAAAATGTCAGTAATATAAAAGTTTATCATGTTTACCTCTCATTATTTTTTCTCTCTTTCCTTTTTTTTTATAATTGAATCAAATATTTAGTATTCCTAGTCGAATTAATTATGTGCAAGCAATATAGTTCGTTAGAGCCTCCACGAAGCAGGCCATAAAGTGCATTTTTTCATGTATTATTAACTGTGTAGTACATATATCACTGTAATATTAACTTTTATAATAAATAGCATAATAATATTAATTCTCCTTCTTGTTCTCTTCCTCTTCTGCTTCTTCGCTAAGTATGTGCACAAATTGGAACATAACATTCGATACAGCACATTGAGTAAGTGTTATCGGTTGTTCAGAATATTGACAAAGTTTCTAATTTTTTGTTGCGTTTCTGTCATTTTCGCTAATGTCTCCTCCATCATATTGCGCAATTTAGACAGATCAGGCATTTTATCGCAGGACTCAACGTTTAATAACTCTATGAAGAATTGCTCCCACGCTGATCTCTTCATGTACCTAGATTCATTTGAACAATTATAAATTAAAGTATATTCTTATTCGTAGTTGGTAAATATAATATAATTTGTGTCAGTTATTTATACCTTGGTATTTTTGTGGTAATGAACCAACGACCGCTTATATTCGAAACTCTCATATAGTTACCAAATAGCAAACAATGACTCGTTGCGGCTAAACAATACAAATCCGTCTGGTATGTCCAGGGTCTACCTGTTTGCATTTCGATGCATGTGAAATCTTCTGTTTTTATGACTTGAGTAAATGTTGTCTTTTCTGGCAACAGACTCATATCTATACTACACCCGAAATCGATTAGCTGTATTGTTGGTCTTACATCCTCCGTAGGTCTACGAATCAACACGTTTTACAACTTATCTGATCTAAACGAATATAATTATCGGTGCACGCTATGTTAAGAAAATACGTACAAACGCATCAACAGAAAATTATCTGGCTTAATGTCCCCGTGTATTATTTGGCATTTGTGTAAGTACTCCACAATTTGCAACATTTCGATTGTGAAGAATATAGCTAAGTGTTCCACCAACGGTTTACCTGTTGCGATTTTTATTTGATTCGTTACTGCTAACAATGTCCCAAATCTGGAGTACTCTGAGACTAGTACACTGCTGTTGTTTGCAACGTATGCCATCGAAACATCCATAAATCCGCGTAGCTGGAAACAACAAAATCATATTAGTATTATGATTGGCTTTCTTATCCGTGACAGTCAAGTAATATTATACAATACCACGTGTGGATTTGTGAGGCGAGCTTTTATTTCTCTAGTGATATAAAATTCCCAAACCCAGGCAGGTTTTTGAGTTTTCAAAGCAACCGTTTGACCTGTTTGGAGATTTGCTGCACTAAATACTGTACCATACATTCCCTTCCCAAGGCACTTTGCCAAATCGTACGTTTCATTACCTGTGTACATCGAATACGTAAATTATGTGAATCGATTCTATAAAATTAATTCCACAATCTAATAATTCTGTCATACAGAAGTACACTGACCGAGCATAACCGTAGTAGAAGGCACAAGCTTATTTAAATTAGTATCTAATCTCACATATCCTTCTGCGTGGTGTGGTTGAGGGAATTTAATTTTCTTTAAAAGGCTGGCTATCAAGCCTTTGTCAAATGGATTTAGATCTCCTGAAGGGAATTGAAAGATTTCTTCCTCGGCTTGTTCCATAGGCTCGTGGTGCTCTTCACATTCCATCGTATCAGGTTTTTCTTGTTCCTCCACTTCGTTTAATTTGAAGTTGATCGATTTTCGTAGATCGCAATTCTTCTTGATCTCAGAAGTAATTTGATCTACGTTACGTTGCACGGTACGAGGGCTTTGGGCATGTACAGCTTGTATTTGGGCTTGGAGCGTTTGTTCATAGGGTTGAGTGGAAGGCAACGTGATGTCTGTACCTTCATCACTTTCACCTAAACGAAGAAAGAAAAATACACTTTATTATTGGCAACAAGCAAATCGATTTCATATGTAGTCGATTAATGCTACCTTGTTCTTTTATAGGAACCAAATCTTCTTTGGTGAAAGTGAAACCCGATGCGGCAGTTCTGATGTGGCCACTGCTGCTGGAACTGCTCGAGATATATTCCCTAGTAGATTCTAATATAACACTTAATTTTTCTTCACCTTCTGCGTTGGGTACCTCTGTAGCTCTATAAAGTTTAAGTCATTGCAAATGAATATTATATATAGCGCTGGATCTATGCCAGTGAAAATAAAACATATTACATACGGTTGAGGTGCTGAGCACTGGTTTACATATTGTGAAGTTCCTTCGGCTGGTTTGTAGGATTGTCTAAAATGATTAGTCATAGGTGTAGAGCTAGTTAGTTGCGTATTAAATGCTTCGGTGTAACATGTATCATTGTTGCCCGTCAGTGGACTAATACCAAGGCTTTCGTCAATGTATAAATTGTTTTCGTCGACCGGCTTGGATGTCATGTTCTCTTCTATCGGTCCATTATAATCAACTACAATAGCGTTCTCTTTGTCTTCAGCGCCTTCGAGATACTTTATGTCTCTGCGATTCATACCGGGGGACTTTATATAGGGCAACTCGGGAGGCATTCTATATGGTTTGCTAGTTTCAATATCGGGATCGTTGTTTGGAGAGTAATGGAGTTGTTTCTGAGGCTCCACGTTGTGCTGCAATAATGTAGACTCCAGTTGTGAGGGATACTGTTGGTACGGGATATCGTTCGGAGCCATGCTGCTGTAAACAGTGTGTTGCATGTGCTGCATATGCTGATGCGACTGATGATGAAGATGTTGATTAGGCGACGGTTGATGTTGCTGAGAATGGTGGCTTTGATGGTGTTGGATCTGGCTGTGGCTTTGTAGATGTGACAGATGTGTAAGAGACTGATGGTGCGCCATTACATGGGCAGCCTGTTGGTGTGTTTGCATCAACTGTTGGTGGTGTTGAGTATGATGTGACCGGGAATGAGATTGTTGTACTTGTTGTTGCTCATGATGCTGCTGCAATCATTCATTTTTAAAAAAAAATTATTATAAATACTCTTCCTATTCGACAAGTATTTCGTTAAATATATATTTTCTACGTTATACCTGTATTTGATATTGATACGTATTGTGTAATCCAGGACTATAAGAGGTCTGATGTTCTTGAGCAGCATAAGGCTGATGGGTAGAATAATTTTGGTGATTCTCCTGATCGTTGTACGGCTGTATGTTGTATCCTGAATGATGCTTACTACTAGACATTGCATGCTGAGTCATCGAGCTATCCAAATGTATGTCGAAACACATTTTCAAAACTTTCGAGTCTGGAATTCTAGGCGTCATGGAATTACGAAAATTGGGAACTGAAGATCCTGTGTCCGGCGAACGCCACATATCCTGTACAACCGACATGGCTTCTTTCGTATTAACCGTGATGCTTTGTCCGAGCAAGTGTTCTTCTGGTTCAGCAGTTAAGGATGACGTATGATGTTGATGCAAGAAATTAGAAGCTTGCAGTTTACGTTGTGAATTCAATTCTGCTTCCATCCTCTGTGCTTCAGCTCTCTCCACCTCGATTCGTTCGGCTTCCAGTCTTTCCAACTCTCTTTGCTCTGCCTCGCGCCTTTGGTTCTCTAACGCTTGATTTTCCGCTTCGTATTGTTGCCTGTGAAGCCTCTCTTGCTCGGCCTGAAGCCTCTGTCTATCTATTTCGAACTGCTCAGCTTCTCTTTGTTGTTGCAATTTTTTCTGTCTCTCCGATAATTCTTCTTGTTGTTTGAACTCTTGTCTCTGTCTTAACATTTCTTGCAAGGATATATTGTGTTTTTGTTGTTCAGCTTCGAAACTTTTGTGATGGACATGCTGTTCAGCTTCGTAGTTTTTATGGTGGACCTGTGACTCAACATCCCTTATATCTTGAGTTTCGTTTCGTTTCTCTAAAGCTTGTGCTCTGGAATTAAAACGTAGCCATGATAATTTAATTACATTTACAGTTTGAATCATTATTCATGAAAATAATCGCTACCTCTGTAAATATCGTTGGACCCTAATTTCCTCCATGCTCATATCCATATTATTTGCGTACACTAAATCTTTTGGATAATGCGGTCTTAATATAATATTTGGATTTGGAGCATCGGGTACAAATACAGGCACTGTTAAATACTCGGAATATTTACTGCCATCAAAAAAATACGTATGGTTTGGGAATAATCTTAATTTGCTTCCGTCAAACTCGTCCAGTTGATCCTCGTGAACTGATGTTTAAATAATAGTGAATAAAATTGCGTTCGCTGCATCTAACTAATACTAGTTTCTATACAAATAGAATTTCACCTTTAAAAGCTGACTTTGTGATCGATGTCATCAATGGACATCGTTTGTGTCCATTATTCCATGGACCAGGTTTAATAGTATTCTCTTTGTGAACTGTGTCTTCTATTGGAACATGATCAAGTATAGAACTCTTCAATTCGGCAGGAACATCGTCCTAATAAAAACATCTCCGTGTAAACGTTCACACTCAAACTTTCTATCTCCAAATTCCGTTTTAAATTTGTATACCTGGTATATGAGTACCCTCGAATTTACACTATGCATTCCTGCAGTAATTTGAGGAACAGTGCCTGGACAGTGTTCGCGTACTCGATGCCCAGTACGCACACTACTAACTTTCTTTCCAGCTTTTATCGCTCTTAATGAGCTGAAAGCCTGACGCTGTTCAAACAATGACCTCTCGCTACGATCATCAGTGTGACCCAAGGTTTTACGCGCAACTGCTAATTGAAAATTTCTGAAGACAAAACAAGGAATTTAATAAGTTCTACACAGAGTTAAAATTTTCTTTTAAGTATGAAAACGCTGCGACTTATACTTATGAGCATAATCCAATTCTTCTAGAGGTTCTGCTTTGGCAGACAAACCCATTATATAAACATTATCCGCCCGTTTATAGTCTTCTATCTGTTCTAATTCAAAAGCCCATGCTCTATACATATCTGCAACCATAGTGCCGATTCCATTATTGTATAAAAGTTGATATAGTTCTAATGGATTCTTTTGCATGCTGATCTGCAAACAAAATTTCTACTAAGTTCACTTTCTTTAGAAGTACAGCAGATAATGTTTCCAAAAGTGCTCACATAATTAATCCAAAGACGTATATATCTACGATCCTGGTGATATTTGGTCTCTTTTTCAAATATAGCTAAGCATTGTTGTAGAAGTTTACCAATGTGAGACTCGTGTCCACTTTTTGGATGACTTTGCTCTACCCACAGTATATATTCATACCAGTTTTCTAAAGGATCATCTCCTTCATAATTTTTTATAGCAGCTTCATACATTCTAAAAATGTAGACACATAAAAATTAATAGCTTTTGATAAATTCTCTGGACAAAATTAATTTTCATTCTACATACTGCTTTTCCTGTAGAAGTAACTGCTGAACATCTATATCCTCTTGTGCTCTCAGAGCAGTCCCTAACTGTGTAGCATTTCGACCATATCGCAACGGTTGAATGTTTTCCTTGGAACGAGCTATAGCTGTTGCAGGATCCATTCTTAACACTATATATTCTTAACGAAACTATTTTATACTCTGAAACAAAAGAAAATCATTGCTTCAAAAAAGATTCAAAGAAGCACAATTAATAAAACTATCGACCAATGTAAAATTTTATGTTACTCTTTAAACAAAAAAATAATAGGAATATTCAGAAAAATAAATATAAAAATTGTTATTTTTTGCAATATATCACAAATATTACAAACAAAATCTAACATTTTCAACAGTATATATACTTTGTTTAGTATATTACCTGTCAAACCGATATCTGTTTCGGAACCGTTTAAAATACTTGACAAATGCGAACGAGAAGATGATGACATATATAAGCAGGAATATATAATTAAAGTCTTTTTCAAACACTGTCGTAAGAACGATATAAATCGAAGATGGTAAAACTGAGAAGGTAGCAAATGATCATATAAATCGAAGGAAATTATATACTTAATCGATCATGTGGAAGAAGTTCTTTATTCGTATGTCTAACGTGCATTTCAAACGGAGCTGCATTAGTTAGGGGCGAGCCGATGCCTGATGATGCATCGGATCCAATATAACGCAAACAATCGTGCGATTCATTAAACAGCAGAGCGAAGCGTAAGTTCTGTTTTCATGCGAAAACGCTTACCTTTCGCACGTATCAAAACTTTGCATAATACTCTTTGAATAACGGCGGACCTTCGAATTGGAACAGATCTAGTCTGGACAACTCCAATAAGGACGCTATCGGTCTAGGTTACGTTAGTCTTCCATTTAACGGCTACAGGCCACCAACGGTTTTTCCACTGTCTTCTGCTATGCTGTGTGTCTCAAGTGTTGCAAGAGTTACGTTTCGTTGACCACGAATTTTAATTCGATCAGCTCTATACACGAGAGAATCGAGAACCGATGCTACGGCAACTTCAAGTGACTTAATATAGCTTTTATGAGAAACTCTAGTAAAGTTACCAATAGAATCAGATCAAAATTCCTAGGCTTCAAAAGTAGTTGTTCTACGATTTTGGTTAAAAAATATGCCCAACTTTTTTTGCTTTTCATACCTTAATGTATATATATACAAAGTGTCCTCTCCTTGTTATAACTTCTCCAAACAATATACCACTAAGATACGTTACGTATAAAACT